TAAGATGAAGTCTTGTTCTCGTTCACTTTCAGAGCCCCTCTACCAGGTCCGAGTACAGCTACACAGAGAAGCATAACTGACGGCTCGCAGAACAGAGACACACACTCTTCTGGAGAATAAAATAATACCTGCTGTAGGAAATAACTCCCAGTTTAGAATTCAATTCACATGTTGTTATGATAAGTAACACTTCAATTCATTCTCTATATCTCTGCGGCTTAAAACTAACTGATTTTAAGGTGGCAAAACTTAAGTTTGAATGTTCGGACATTATTATTCAATGCGACAATTTTATTTATAACTGTATCGGTGAATGATTGTTTTTGTTTTGTTTGTTTGTTTTAAGTGGAAGAGAATTTTATGTCTGAATCTCCTCTTCTCGCTGAATCATGCAAAAAACTACGCACGATTAACGTCTTTACATAATTTTAGAGGAGGACTTTACAGTTTTAAAAGCAGTAACAAATTGCGAAATACTGTGGTCTCCATTTAATTTTTTAAAACACATCTTACATATCTTCCGTTAAGCAAGTAAGAAAACTGCAATAAAAAAAAAAAAAACCCGATACGAGTGATGATCCTCCAGAAAATCTTCCCTGACTTTTAATTGAAAAAATGCCCAGTTTAATATTTCAAACTTCCACCAGTACGTTTCTTGCGCTTCACTGTCAGCGGGACAACCTGATTCAAGTCACGAAAAGATTTTTGTCCTAACGTTCCAGCACATTCCCTCCCACGACTGGTCTTCTTTTTCGAGAACTCGCACGCTCTCCACGTGACAAGTAACACTAGCTAAATGCCACTATGGCTGCCATGTGATCCATGCCACAAGTCACTTCCATTACTTTGCCTGATACTTCAACCTGAAAAGCCAGAAATAAAAAAGAGGTTTACATAAATTTCGCTCGAGAAGCTTAACAGGCCCAAACATTCGCAGAATGATGAATCCGTCAGCCCGTCTCTCTGTTCGTACCACCGCCTCCTGGTTAGCTCAACTAGTAGAGCGCCGGACTGTTGTGTGGGAGGCCGAGGGTTCAAGCCCCGGCCGGACCAACACTCAGGGTCTTAACATAACTGAGGAGAATGTGCTACCTTTCTATAATATCAAGAAATGGATAGATACTCTAGTCTTCTCGGATAAGGACGAATAAACCGTAGGTCCCTTCTCCTGAAGGGTTAGGGGTAGGAGACGCTAATTTCCCACGCACGAGATTGCTGTGTGGCGGATGCCCTCCCCTGGGACGGGATGGGTGGGTTTACTGGGCCCGCAGTAGTTGGCGCAAGCTGTTACGGGATCCCTGCCTGTCGGCGAAGCTAATAAATTACAAATTATAAATTAAAAATTAAAATTTGAGACTCAACTTGCAAGGCCAGGTCACAAATGCTTATGAGGTGCAACTCACCCGCTTAGGCGTCCATTGATTGAGTGTGGAGCCAAGACCCAGTCTCCCAAATGACCCTCTACCCCAGGTGTACAGGTTTCCTGATTCTGAAAGAGGTAGTGAGAGTAAAAATAATTGTGACTCACGAGAAATCTTGAGTTTGTGCTGGTTTTGTCCAATGTCGTGCACCTGTCTAGCAATATAAATTATGTATTTCCGGCTTCGAGTGAAAATTTTCTTCAAGAGGAATGCGTCCATTTGCGTGAGCGTGAAAAGAAATCGGAGACGTAACCATCTCGTGGTTAGCCCGTTGGACCTCGGAAGAAAAGGTCCAGATACTCCACGTCTTTTCTGACGCACAGGAGCCGTAAACGTCTTCTGAAGTATCACAGAATATAATAAGAACAGGATTGCAAACTGCGTCCGAACGCTTTAAACATCTCTCCGGAAAATTTGACTCGATTCATTTCAGGTTATTTATTAAAGAGTGCTGACCATTTTATTTTTATTATTTTCTGGTATCGGATCGTCCCAGTCGAGCTTTTTGCTATTTGCCCACAAATGTCGATCAAGATTTTGGCCCGCACTGTGAAGGGCCCTGCCAGTCCTAGAGGATCGTACATACTGTTGACTTGTGACAATATCATCAGCTTCGTAAGTGATGGTGTGAGTTTCGAATCGTTATTAGGATTCTCTTTTTGTACTCCGCGTTTCCGATTCGAAAAGAAGTTAAGCTTTGCTGAAAAGCACAAATGTGGTTATCGAGGAAGCAATGCCCCAGAGGTCGAGTTCCGCTGATAAGACGTGGGTCCCAAATGTTTTTTTGTCAAACAAACCTGTTAACACAGCGCAGCTTTCAGGGCCACAAATCAAGCTTGAGATAGTGTCATCTATTTTGGAGAACTCCTCGATTTTTCTTGGCGTCTTTGTAAAGGAAACTTCTTTACCGTGTCCAAGAACCCCATATCCCCAACTGTAAAGTTCTCCAGGGACTAATTGGCGGAGGGGAAAGTAAAAGATAACAAAAATTACAGTGAGAGCGTGGTCCCATAAATTGAGCCATCGAGAAACCAACAGAAAGTTTCGAGAAAGAATGACATGAAGCTGGTATAAAGAAAATTTTTTGGTTACAACAATGTCCTGTAATTGAGTACGGGTTTTTTTGGCTAATTTAATTTGGCAATACGTGGCAAGGGACCGTACAAAACTTAAAATTGGATTTTCAGAGTAAAAATGACTTGTTTTTCTGTTTGAACACATGTTGTCGTGCACTTTACCTACCCGTGAGAGCTATACAAAATGAACCTCCAGCAGCAACCTGTTGGACCTGTGGAAGATTTCTCAGCAGAGTTGCTCTTATTGGGACGGTAAACTTGACGAAAACAAATTGAGAGAAAACAACAAATATTACGGGAGTGAATGAAACTAAAGCGAAACAGTTACATCAAAAAAAGAAACGCAGATCACAGTAACAAACCAAGAAACGAACTCCACAAATAACGATTTCGTATTGAGATGCTCGGCCACTAAGTTAGCGCTGATATACTGCAGGCTGTTACCAAGTTCTTAGAAGGCAATCGTGGTGGATTTCTTCATTTCACGCTGGCTAACTGGCTGTTTGTTTGGTAAATGTTATAAAGTAACCCAATTGATTATTTACTGCAGACATACTTGTTCGTCTTCCTCGTCAACAGCAAGCTGTCCATATTCATTGTTTCCCCATGAAAATATTTCACCTTCATCTGCGAAATAGAATTTCAATACACTGTCATAACTACCCTGAGATTATTGTCTTGATGAAACACTGAATTCCCTAGACTAACTTACAACGAAATAGGTAGGCATCAGTTAGGAGAATAAAGCCCTCAGATCTAAGGAGTGGAATGGTTTACAAGCCTGTTCGATGCATTACCTGACAGCGCCAAGCAGCAATCTCCTGAAGTTGCAATTTGTTTTATCCTCACATCTTTCAGTTCTCCTTCAATGACCTTACATGTTGCCTCGTCCTTAAAATGATTCAAGCCTTTGGAAATTAAAAAAATCAAGGAAAGATTGATGACCCAATTTGATTTTGCAGTCTGATTATGTAGGTGAGAGTAGTCAGGAATGGAATGGGTCTGTAGCAGTAGCTGAGAGAGGATCGTTAGAGTCAAGCAAGGAGTTGATTGTTGGTGTGGAAGCCGCGAATCGGAACGAGTTACAAAGCTGACGTTTCCAGCGTTACGATGGCCAATTTACAATTTCAACTTAGTAAATATAACCCAATTACCCGACTGGATTTAATCACTTCTACTTCTGGGCGAAACCATTCTCGTTCTGGGCGAAACGATGTGGGCGAAACTCGGTTTAACCGTTGGTGTAGTGTTTTAAGTCTGGCTTCTGATACCTGGTTGATCACTTTTTCTATCATGCTATTGATTGTAAGAATCAAGTTGTCTCTACCACGGGTCAGTTACGATTGTTTGCAACTGTAAACTTGAATAATTTTGTTTGTCCATGCTATCACTGAGCAGATCATAAATTATGGTGCAGTACTGGTTGAAATCTTTTGCGAGTAGTCTGTTTTGGTTGGTAAACCATAATTCTATAGTCAGTTTTGAAAGGGTTTACAATATAGGATTACTACCATTATACTTTTTCTCGTAGTAAGTCAGTGCGTTAGGAGAGATTTGTTGGCCCAGCTAGAGGCTGGATTTAAATCATTACTGATATTAAAGCTTCACTCTTGATCAAAAACACCACACATTCATCCACAGACCAGACCAGCACACAAAACACAAGGCTTACGGGCAAGTTTTTGAGCATTCAAGAGTTACACTCATACCTGTTTTAACATTGGAACAATGAAATAAAACATCATAGAATTTCAAAATGTACCAGTTTGTCCATCAGCCCCCCATCCACAGGACATCACTGTGCCGTCAGTAGACAATAGAAGGGTGTGGTCCAAGCCACATGTAACCTGAAGAGATCAAATTTCAAACATATGACATAAGATTCATCACGTATATCAGCGGATAGAAGTTCAGTCCAAACTCACCTGTTTGATCTTGCTTGTAACATTAGGTATCTTGCTCAATTTTTCAATAACTTTTGCTTCTTTGCTTCCAGTTCCACACTGTCCATGGAAATTTCCTCCCCAGGTCCAGACTTTATAACAATCAATAATAGTAATAGTAACAGTAATAGAAAACCACCTCCTGGTTAGCTCAATTGGTAGAGCGCTGAACTGTTGTGCGGGAGGTCGTGAGTTCAAATCCAGCCGGACCAACACTCGGGTCTTTAATTAACTGAGAAGAAAGTGCTGCCTTTGTAATAACATATGCAAATGGTTAGAGTTTCTAGTCCTCTCGGATAGAGACGATAAATGGAGGTCCCGTCTCACAAGCCCTTGTATGTGATAAAAAAAATTGTGGGACGTTAAAGAAGCCACATACTGTTCGAAAAGAGTAGGGCATGTAGTGCCCAGTGTTGTGGTCTATCTTTGTGTAGTTTGTATCAAATTGATGGGGAGTACTTCGCCTTTGAATATTGTATAGAAAAGGCACAATATAAATAAGGATTAATTAATTAATTCATTCATTCATAATAGTAATCAAAGTTTAATGTCTTAACGTGGGGCATAGTTACCCATATTGCCCGAGCCAGAGGCACGTGTATGAAACACAAGACAACAACCCACCCATCCCACCCCAGGGGGGCCATCCATCACACAGTAATCTCGTGCGTGGGAAATTAACGTCTCCTACCCCTAACCCTGCAGGAGACGGGACCTCCATTCATTCGTTCCTATCTGAGAAGACTAGAATATCTAAACCATTTCTTGATGTTATAGAAAGGCAGCATATTCTTCTCAATTATTTTAAGACCCTGAGTGTTGGTCCGGCCAGGGCTCGAACCCTCAACCTCCTGCACATCAGTCCAGCACTCTATCCATTAAGCTAACTGGGAGGTGGTTAGTTCAATTAACAATTAACATCAACAGAAAATAATTGCTATAAACATAATTCACAGTACATCCAAACCTTTAATTACCTACTTCCATGACCTGCAGAGTTTCTGTTGGTTTTTTTGGCGATTTATTAATAAACTCTGACATTATATATGAAAACTCATCAATTTGGTCTCAAAAACTGATGTAGCACACAACAACCTAATATCAAGAAATGATTCCTTTATATGCAGTCCCTGACAAATTTTGTCATCCAGTAAATGTATGAACCATGCAATCTTCTCAGTTTTTTCATTGAAAATGTTCCTGCTGACAATCCTACCAAGACTCGTAAATTAATAGCACTTTATGACGCAACTTTACTGCTTTCCTTGTAAGTAAACATAACAAAATTACCTTCTCCATTGTCCAATAACATGGCTGAATGCGATCTTCCACAAGAAATCTGTTGGACTTGCTCTGACAAAGGTGGATTTGTATAGAGTTCAACAGGGGTTGGAACAGACTCAACTACAAAAGAGATTGAACACAAAACATCATGTGTTACACACTTGTTAAGAAATATATCAAGAATCTCGAGAGGAACTGTCAGTGTGATAAGGGCACTTGTCTTCTCCCACAGTTGTCTTGGTTTGATTCCCTGACATGCTGTTGCCCATGGGTTGTGTTTTTTTGTGTGTTCTTTAGCTCCAAGAGCTTTTTACTTCACCTTTGAAGCAGATACAATTTTTACCCATTTTAAAAAAAAATAGTTCTTATTTGATGCTCTTTACCGGTATGTAATGAAAAAATTATCACTTTTCTTTCCTAAATTTAATGGCCTGTGAATGACATGGAATGCTATACAGTGGGACATTTAATGACACAAACAAGTCAAGAGTGTACTGCACAACATACTTTTCAAATCACCACACATCTGTGATCTTCCAAGCTGTGAAAATGTGTTCAAGCCAACAGTCCATGGTCTGGGAATTCCTTTTCCAACTGCTACTGTGAATCCATAACCACAAGCAATGTGAGAAGCCTGCAAGAATATGGTAGTAAGAGATTAAAAGAATATAATTATATTTATTAAAAACTAGATCATTGAATAATGCAATTCAAGACTTTTTATTGGCTTAGCCATTATGGTATATCAGCCAATATACCATAATCTACAAATATGGCAAGCGTACGTGTCAGCTTAAAATTAAAAGGGAGCTAAAAATTTAATAAAATTTAATAATTTAATTCAACATTTTTAATAAAACAATTATTCCACTCGCGCTTGTTGGATATGAGATGATTATATTTATCTATCATCTCATATCCAATGTGCGCTCATGGAATAATTATTAAATATACTATTCATCGTAATAACTAAATAAGCTCAGATAAAAAGTTACCTCAGCTAAAAGAGGAAGCCTGATTGGTACTAGACTGTGCTTCTGGTTACCAGTCCCCAATTGACCACCATCCCCAGCTCCCCAGACATAGGCAACTGAGGAAACATGGGACACACAGCCTATAATTGGTAAGAGAAGTATAAAACAAAAAGAAGAAAACAGCTCACATTAAGTGTATTTTAAGGATGATATCCCAGTTCACAAACATGAGCCCAAGAATGAGATATTTCATTTACTTACTGAGTGTATCTAGCACCTTTAGCTTGAAATAAAAAGGATTTCCTGAGAAAAGTTTACTTGTTAGTTTTATCAACCACATTGTAGTCATACCATACAATTGAAAGCTCACCTCATATCCATGCTTTGTGACAGACAAGATAAAAGTTAAGACATAGTCAATACATGAATAGAGGGTGTTTGAATGTTCAAAGCATGGAATGGAGGGGTGTCAGTTGCTTGTTAAGTTGAACTGAGTCTTCCTTCATTGAGGATAATTGGTTTTGTGTTTTGTTTCCATCATTTAGATATGGATGGAGGGCTTTAATAGACACGTACACAATAACTTGGGAGGCGTGGTGGCCTCATGGTTGGTGTGCTTGACTCCAGATCGAGTAGTCCAGGTTCAAGACCTGCCCGGGGACATTGTACGTGTTGTGTTCTTGGCAAGACACTTAACTCTCACAGTGCCTCTCTTCACCCAGGTGTTTAAATGGGTAGCGGCAAATTTCATGCTGGGGGGTAACCCTGTGATGGACTAGCATTCCATTCAGGGGCAGAGTACCAATATTCCTAGTCGCTTCATGCAACCAAACCAGAGTTAAATGCTGGCCTGATGGGCCTCTTGGCTCATAAACAGACTTTTACTTTTTAATTATATGTTAATGCGCATAGCCATGTATGTGTAGATATTGCCTCAGTGGTATAGAGGAACGAATCAGCTCAAATAAATCACTGTTACTCACAACCCACCATGAATTTTCAGTCTATGTGTCTCTAAGAAATTCAGCAGGTTATGTGACTTACATTTAATATTTCTTTTCTTATTCTGAGCCCACAGGATTTGTCTCAGCCACGTCTGGGATGAGCTGATCAATCTGTGCCATGCTATGCTCATTGGAAGTTGCAGTTCTACTGCAGCAAAATCTTGCAGAATGTTTACCCTCCAAATGACACTGTCTTATTAACACTCTGTATGATGTGCTCTCAACTGAAAAGGCAAATTCAAACAGAAAAAAAAGGTAAGATGGCGTGTCAAGAATTCTGTGTGTTAGATCTAGATAGAGAGACAAATTAGTCTATCTTTCTACCTATTGCTGTGTCAAAAGGCTTTCACTCTTTAATATTTTTCCTACACCATTACCGAACTCTTGGCAAGCAGCAGTTTCACCCTCACTTTCCTCAAAACCTAGGACTCTGGAACCCCTCTCCCCCTTCACTCCACCTCATTTTCCTACTCTATCTACCTTTCTATCTTAAATTTATTTCTCTATATCAGCTGATTGGTTACCATTAGCTATTGGATTAATACGACGATGAAGAAAAAAACATCGTTGCAGATAAATCTGCACGAGCAGCTAAGTAATTAAGAGTGTGGTTCATCTTTCCAACGCGTTGATTTTTGCAATTTCCAAGCGTCAAACATCTGTCAGATGGTTACATAGACTGGAGACAATACTACCATCTCACGTGCTGTTGAAATGTAGCGCTCGAATTCATTTCAGGTGCAAAAATTAAATAAGTGTCCATAAATCATCCCAGGTCTTCCCTGTTAAAAAAAGAATCTTATTTGCCTTATGGTTGAATTTTCAATCCTGATTTTAATTTCTCCAGACCTTTCTCTCGCTGATATTGAGCGAAGAGTCCTCTGAGTCACGTTTCTTCAAGGCGTTCGATTCTTTGCGGTATAGACTGGAGAGAAGTCTTACTATCGTGACGTCATACATTCGATTTCATGAAAAGTCTAGAGTGGTACATGCTTAGTGGTATTGTTTTCATTCGCAGTTCTGTTTTGGGATAAATCAATTTCATATTCTGAGGTAGGTACCGGTAAAATGAATTTTTAAATATTTTCTCTTTTGGGGAAAGGTGAAAAGTGTCAAGAAAGAATGAGTGTTTTAATTTCCAAGAATTCGTCGAGTGGTGGCTAAAAATTATGGCCGTCGTTTCTATGGTTCAGAAATAAGTGACATGAATTCGCAGTATTTTCTCATTTTCAACTGGTGATGGAATGATTTGTACCACCTCCAGTGATGAAAAATGATATTGATTTCAGCATAACTACCAGGCTTAATTGAATCTTCGAGACTTTGAACCAAAAAAACGTTTGGCACAGGAAGTATTTGATTTATTAACGAAGCCTCATGCTCTTTTTCTTACTGCTTTGTACGAAAGACACGAAGGGTCTTTCTACATCTATTTCTTAAAAGTAGTTGGACTAGAAAGTCACGTTTAAGATTTAGTAGAGAGACTTTTCGATCATTTTGACATCCATCAGCTAAACATTTCCCAGTAACTTGTTACGAAAATTACCGGTAGGTTTTTGATCACGACAACAACTTCTACCTGATAAGTTTTAGTATTCTCATTGCCTTTTTACAAGATAATGTATGGATACTATAGGGAGAAGTTACATGTTAATCACTCCTGAGAGTTGAAGGGTCGAGGAAGGACAAAAAGAAGATAATTTTATCTGAAATTAGTAATTATATTAAGCTAAGTTATGTGCCCATTCTGATTGGTTCTTCCCAATGATATATTGGAAGACAAACACATTAATGGCAACACTTTTAACAAGTTTTTGCTTCTGTGTTATATAAGACAAACAGATTCTATTTTGCTGTGGATCTGGACAGTAATACAGGGCTCAGCACTAACTTTTCATCGTACTAGCCAATGGAAGTGGCTAGTGACAACTTTTAAAAGATGTTACAAGAATTTCAGTTTGTTTACTAGCCAAACTGGAGAGTGGAAATCAAAAACCATGAGTCAAAACTGAATTTCTACTAGTCTGTGGCTAATTGGCTACCGTTAGTGTTGAGCCCTGTAATTAACAAATGGCAAACACTACAGCGTACACTATTGAGTTATGGATGCATGCAGGAGGTTGCTAAGTGACTCTAGCTTCTTGAGTGCTTAGCAAACCTCCCAAGTGCATCCATAACTCAATAGTGTACACTGTGATGTTTACCATTTGTTTTATAACATAACATTGATACATTGTTGCAAAAGAGTTTTCTTATATTTAACAAATCTTTTGTGACCAGAAAAAACGAGTGCGTGCAGAAACCTAGTCTTTGCATTTGCTCACGTCAGCAGTGTACATCCATGGGCAAATGATGGACGCTGAATTGACCAATCAGAGTGCACGCTTTACTTTGGCAATGTTATAATAGATCACAAAAGATGTCAAAATGTGGGCTAATGCTCGGAATGTCAGCTTTTTAACTCTCTATGGTGGCCAATTTACAATTTCAACTTAGCTGATATAACCAGATTACCGAGTTACTGATGCAGCACCACAGTTTCTTTAGAAACTTTCAGCCTTTATTCATTTGTGGTAAGAACATCCATGGCACATTTGGCTGCACCTCACATGTCACCTTTTTGTCCTCACCTTATTTTGACGTCATCTGCAATCTACAACTGAACAGATGCACAGTAACATGGAAATTATATTTTGTTAAATAAATATTGAAAATTTCCTTGATGGAAATACAAAGAGGGAAATAAATACAGATGGAATGGATGTGACGATAATTACCTCTACCATACTACTTTGTTTGGAAAATTGTGTGAGTAAACAACTGTGTAATTGGTAATATTGTATAATTCATATCAGTTCCAAATGGCTCGAGGTCACCAAAAGTTTCAGTCCCAACAGAAAAATGCGCAGAAGCAAGAGAAGTTAAAGAAGGCTCAAGGACATGATCAAAAGTCAGCAGCACTGAAGGCACTAGTCTTCACATGTACAGTATGCAAGGTGCAGAGAATACTCCCAAGATCACACTAGTATTTCTCATTACTGTCTGCAATATAATTATTATTGTTAATTTGGAGAATTTGGTGTTGTATCAATCCCCCAGTTGATATACTTTCTTTATTCCCATAACTTGTCTGCTTGACAATGTATTGATATTGTATGGAGAAATGCTTTCTTGGTCACATACGGGAGTCCAGGGGTTAATAACCTAACATGAGGAGTCATGGAAAGATTTGTCATGCTGAGACCACACTAGTGGACAAAGACAACATAAAAATTCTGTTCAAGGTTATGACTTTTGTATGATTTTTCGGAAATAATCAACACAGTAACATATTTTTGAAGCCTTTACTATGTACAACAAAAGTTCTTACATGGTTATGTTTTGAATTCAGTCACAGATGCCTGACCCTAAAACTTACAAACAGCACTTTGAGAGCAAACACCCTAAAGCAGCACTTCCTCCAGAGCTAGCTAGTGCATAATGTTCAACATGGTAAGCTGATTATTACTTTTGCTTTCTTCATTAAGTTGTTATGCATCCCTTGAAATCCAACACCACACACCCTTCTCTATTATCTTGAGCATGACAGGTGAAAAAATTTTCAAACTGCCAGTGTGCCAGCTTTGGTATGTATGTATGTATACACTCAGGTACCACATCAGTGGTGATGGAAAGTTGATTCTAAGTTAGTGTTATATTTTATCTCTCTTTTCAGTTTGATGATGCTTTGGATAGAAACATATTAAATATTTTTGCATTGAGGATGGATTGAGGCATAGAGCTGCCTGTGTCTGCAACAACTTATTTTGAATTCTTTGCATTTAAGTCTGGGTATATTCTGGGTGTTTTTCTAATTTAACAAGCTGGCTTTCTGGGGTTGCAACATCAGGTTCACACCCAGTGAGCATAAATTATTAGACCGAAGTTGGTTATGGCCTTTTTCTTACTCAGCCTCTTTTGATTTTCATTCCTTTTTTTTCTCCATAACAAGTGTTGTAAAAGAAAAAAACTCATACTTTTGGTGTGAGATGGGCACAAGTGGTACCAAGGGAAGCTATTTAATGTTTTAACTGTAACCGGAAGATATCAGCCAGTGCAGGCAAATTTCTTTTGTTAAGGGGATGCTGACAGCCAGAGACGGATAGAATTGAAGAAAAATTGTCAAGTGATTTACGACAAGATTCTGTCCTTTCACAGTCCATTTCTTAACCCTTTAACTCCCAAAAGTGATTAACCTGTAACTTCTCCCTATAATATCTATACATTATCAAGCAAACAGGTAATGAGAATACTCAAACTTGTCAGGTAGAAGTTGTTAATGTAATTGAACACCAAATTCTCCTAACCAATTTTCAAGGAAATGTGCAGCAGCTAGAGGGAAGAGTTAACAATCAGATCTCGGGAGATGAAGGGTAAAGCTTCCTGTTCTCCTAATTGAAGTATCATCATCAGTTTGTTTGGTATTGTTTTATAATTAGGGGGAGGGGACTGTAGAATTTAAATGCAGATCACACACTAGGGATTCAAAGGACAAGCAGTCACCACTAATCACAGCAATACTTTCCTTAAATGTTTGAAAATTAATTGCACTTTTACTGGAAAGATACAGACGTCAAGGAAAAGAACATTTGGCCATGTTTGCAGATCAAACCAGTCTCACACAAGAACTGTTTCAGTTTATCACACTGTTTCATTAGTCAAGACACAGTATCAAGTTTTAACATCACAACCATTTCTCTGTGGAAAGAATTAGGAAAAAAAAACAAATATGCACACTCAACAGTGCTAGAAACTGATTGAAAACAATGTAAATAGCATTGTTATAATAGCACATGGGTTTGTACTAGGCAATTATGTAATAATTAACTACATGTAGTGTATTTACTTTCCACCCAATTGTGTTAATTTGTGATTTGGAAGAATTGCTTGCAAAAAATGAACTTTCTGATTTAAAATCGACTTTATTTTTTCATATACAAGTGATAAACCTGTACTCATTTAATAAGTAATAAATGATGTAAAATTTTTTTAATCTGTTCATCATGATGCAAGACTGTTCTTTTTAAGTTATCAATGAACATAAAATATTGAGACTGACAATATTATTAAAGGAAGAAAAATTTAATAACTTTATTCAGAATTGAATTTTTGTCTAATGCGAGTTCTAGGGTGGTGGTAAACGTTATTGATGTCCGTCACTCGGCCAATTCCAGGTGGGTGAAGACACTGACACTGTTTGTTGTGGAGAAGTACATTTTAAAACAAAATGAAAGTAATTTTATCTTCCAAGAGAATAAAGGCGAGGAAGCTATTAACCCTTTACAGCCTAACATCAGTATGCATATTCGCCATACTGTTTTCTCTGTATTTCCTCAGGTACTGAAAATGAGAATTTGTTTAACGATCAACCGCTACTTTAGTTGGAGATCATTTCCTTTATTCTCAACAACTTAATATGCTCCGACGAAGGGCTAACGCTCGAAACGTCAGCTTTTGTAATCGTTACGGTGGCCAATTTACCATTTCAACTTTGTTGATATATCCAAATTATTTCATTACTCCCACCAACGCAGCCCCAAACAGTTTCTTTCGAAACTATCAGCCTTTTATCAACTTAATATGTGATTAGGGGGTGATATTGTATGGAGAAATTTAGATGCTAGTAACTCGGGTCAAATGGTCAGAGAGAATATTCCTCTCTTTGTTTCTAACTCATCTCATAGCTTGGTTAACAGCACTGTGTCAGTGTGGTGGACAGGAAGCTTGTCTGAAGTTCCTGGCTGCAAGTTCATTTGACCGTGACGATGTACAGCTTTTATTAGTGGCAACTTTTTTGTGTCCATAGTTTTTACTATTGACTGATTTTGACGAGGGAATCAGCATACTGAAACTCACTGCTGTGCTCATGACCATACATGTCTAATGCCACAACACAACTTTCCTGAAAAAGAAAATTAAGGAGATTTAACCCTTTCACTTCCAAGATCTTCCTGGGAATTCTCCTT